TTCCGTGTATTGAATCTAGTTTTGTCCCCTTTTAGCGAACCGCTTTTTGCTTTGTTATGGTTCCCCTGACCACTATGTTTTGATAAGCTCTGCCACTCTGGGCAAGGCCTACGTATGGCATTGCAACCTACTTTAAAGCATACTAACTGAAAATTAAAGCTATATCATCTGCTCCCACGTTAGCGCAAGCTTACGTTTTTTACACATTTTGAGATATTGGTATCAAATTGATCCCCGAAAAACGCTGATCCCATTGATACAAATAACTTAAAATGTGTAAAAATTTCATATGAGCTGTTTGCCAAACAGTCTGCAGAGGTGAGCGGTTTTCCGGACGATCGCCAGAGGAAAGCGGTTTCCGAGACGGTCGCTGTTGTTATTCTAATGTGTTGGCTTAATTGTGGGTGTGTACTATGGCAAAAGTACACTCTCATTTGTGTGTACTATGACAAGTACACTCTTGCTTGTGTGTGCTTGCAAGTCGACTCTTCCTTGTGTGTAGCAAGTACACTGTTGGGTTCTCTGGAAACCCAACTGTGTACATGATCATGTATAAAAATGAAAATAGTGTGTACATGGCCATGTACACACGTAGAGCCCTATGCTGAAATCTATGAGCCGAAGTGTGTACCTGGCCATCCACACACTATTTGCTGCATACATGATGGACACACTATTTGCTGCAGACATGATCATGTACGCAGTATTTTCTGCATACATTTAGGTATCCATCAAATAACGCATACATGTACACCTGCACACTTGAGTTTCCAGAGTTTTCAGTGCAATAGCCTACTTGTACTTCTTGTCTGATACAATTCTAATACCTTTCTGTCCTCTATATCCTTTTGAGACCTATTGACTACTCCAATGATGCCAAGTTTAACAGGAATGCACCTCCCCGTCAAAATATCTGTAGCATTTGTACCTTAAAATAAAAAAAGGGAAAAAATGTCAATTAATGAACAAAGCCTGATCTCCGCACTGTTCTCCCACAATGATTTTTTTCGGTGCCGTACCTTTATCCATTAAATCAAGTTTCGTCAGAACAGCTAAAGTGCGTTCACCTTCGGGATCCACATCCCTCGCCATTTTGAGACACTCGTGAGTGGCCATGTCTGTATTAGCTGTTACTACAGCCAAAATGATGCTTTTGGGATTTTTTATGAATTTATAGATAAGTTCGACAATCTGATTCTCTATGTCCTCAGGCTGGTCATCAACAGCTACCTGAAAGAGTATTCGGAGTGCTGAACAATACGCAACTCATCTTATTCAAGTTAGGTATGCTGATTTTAGTTCGGCTGGAAACTGGAGATTTCTTAGATAACCCAGTGAGAAATGAAATATCGATACGATGTCGTTTCGATATCACCTGTCGAAAATGTCTTGAAATTAGGGACAATTTTCAGTCGTTAACGGCACAATTTACGACTTTCGATATCGATACGTTGCGTCGATATCGCTCCAAAAATCATTTCTCACTGGGTAACTTCTTGTCGGTTCAGTTCCTACTTACTTACCTTTGTGATGCCAGGCAAATCCACAAGGGTCAGCGTCAGGACGTTAGGAGAGAATATCTTCAGGACTATCGGTTTAGAAGAGATATTTTTCTTCTCACCTGCAAGAACTGCTGTTCTTCTTTCAATTTCGCTTTTAATTTCATCAATTTTGAATGTTGTTTCTTCCTCGTCAAATTCGCCCCATTCGTCTGAGAAAACACCTGAAATGAAATATGCGGCTTCAGATAGATGCATGAACAAATTATGATCCGACAGTGACCTTTTCGGTGCGGGATTGGTGCGTAAACGTCTCTATAGCACTCCATAAATAAGGTACAGGGTCGTTTGTTTTTTGTTTTTGTTTTTCACGTGAAGCGTATAAGTAAAGATTGGGTCACACTGCCTGGTCAGAAATTTTTCCTAAGATATCGTTTCGACATCGGTTTTCACGTCGTTAGCGATACTATTAGAAGGGACTGGCTGGAATCGACGGCTTTTCGACAAACGACGTCGTTTCGAGGTCGTTTGCAGAAATTTTACAGTGTATCCCTCTTACCTCTATTCTCACGCAATTTATCACCCCTGGGGCAGTTGACGAGGCGTAAGATCAGCGGGCACCTGGTGACCATGCCCGTGCCGCGAGGTAGGAAGGAGCGACGCACGAGTGACTCCAACACGGAGCTCTTTCCCGAGCTCTAGAGACCAGATAATCGTGGATATTAGACATAAAACAACAACACTGTAAAATGAATTCAACCGCCGTTTGTTGCACCGATGGTACAATTTCGTAAGTCACCAATCATTCAGTGCGTACCTGGCTGCCCACCACCACAATTTGAGGCAAATCCACCAGCTTTTTACTCAAGCACTTCAACTGGTCCTGGATCTTGTTGATTGAAAATATCAGGTCGTCCATGTTGAACACTGAAAAAGGGGAACAGTCCTTTGAGTTGTGGCCTCGATCCCCAGTAGCGCCCAGTGCATTACAGTGAAAACAGAAGAGAGCAACTGGCATGCACATAGTGGTGTTTTACTCTATGGTGCAATGGTGCACACACTTAGGTGGTGGACTGGAAATTTGAATCCTTAAAACCGTTCAACAGTGAATTTGAGCACTTAAGTAGTGTCCAAGGCTTCATGGCCGACCCTATCGCTGAACACCTTTAAGTATTAAACTTAACCGTTGAACACTTTTCAGTATTCAAATGTCCAGTCAAACACTTCACTTTTATTAACCGTGGGACCAGATATGGCCCAAGGTTTTTTCGGTCTAGCCAGTAGCCGTCCTACTTGGGCGGCCCATCCACCAGGGCACATAGACGTTTTATCCAAAGCGGTTCTTCGTACAGTCGCCCAAATATCGCTATTTTTGTCCAGCGACAACCTCTTCACTGTGGTCAATATTTGAAATTTTGGCCACGGTGTTTGATGCGGAGTAGTCACAAAAATCAAACACCGTGGCCAGAATTTTGAATTTTGATCACAGTGACAGCGTACCCCCTCCCCCTCCCGAGCGGTGGAAGTGGGGGAGGCTAATCGTAAAAACGAAAGTTAGGAATCAAACCAGCCCGAGGGGGCAATAACTCCCATTTTAAGTGTACACATGATTCCCGAAAGAACTGATTCCCGT